TACATGGGAACTGATATAGCTACTGAGTGCAAAAAAGTGGATACAATCTTAAGAGGTCAGCTACCTTTCCCTTAGAGATAAAGTGTGCCATTTCACACAGTGGCTTAGACCTATAGTAGCCTTGAGTGTATACGTGTACATATATGCGTGTGTGTAGAGTAGGGAGGTTATCCTGCGTGTCACCTACAAGTGATATTTTTATAATCGTATTGACGGGATTATCATAGTATGGGTGGGGTTGACTTATTGTAGGGGGGATTATCATTGTATGGGTGGGGTTGACTTATTGTAGGGGGGGGATTATCATTGTATGGGTGGGGTTGACTTGTAGGGGGATTATCATTGTATGGGTGGGGTTGACTTATTGTGGGGATTATCATTGTAGGGGGATTATCATTGTATGGGTGGGGTTGACTTATTGTAGGGGGGATTATCATTGTATGGGTGGGGTTGACTTATTGTAGGGGGGATTATCATTGTATGGGTGGGGTTGACTTATTGTAGGGGGGATTATCATTGTATGGGTGGGGTTGACTTATTGTAGGGGGGATTATCATTGTATGGGTGGGGTTGACTTATTGTAGGGGGGTTATCGTATGGGTGGGGTTGACTTATTGTAGGGATTATCATTGTATGGGTGGGGTTGACTTATTGTAGGGGGGTGACGCATGTTAAGGTGTTGGGTAACTCTTATTGTAGAAAATGTAAGGACATAGCGTGTGCTGTAAGTTGTGAGAGGTGTGCAAGTGGGATGGTGTGGTAATGGTGGTAAATTAAGGGTGTAGTGGTAGGAATAAAATTGTGGTAGTAAGATGGGGCGATTGTGAAAACACATGTTTCGTCAATAACTTTTTATTACCGTCCGCCGGTTACACACCTATAGCCATCGTCGCACACACACACATAAAGTATCTGAAGGTTGTACAATATCTAAATTTTCTATGGTGTAGCGTCACAGAAAATGCTCAACACTTCGAAAGGATAACTCGTACATTGTGTATTATTTCGTACGAATTATACCAGTGTCCGTGTATATAATCCTGTATATAAATAGTATGAAGGGAGAATTTCAAGGTACCTATATGATGGATGGGAAGGCCCAGTTGGTCCATAAAGTGTAATATTGTGAATAAGTGTTCCCACGTCTGAAAGTTATGGTATTTACGTCTGTGTAAGATTAATAAACATAGCTACCTTATGTGCCAGATGAAGATATACAAGTATGTTATGAGTTGCGGTTGAACATGAGCAATATTAAAGTGGGGTTGATATACTGTATATAGTTATCTCATTTGACCGTAGCCCCTCGGACAGTGCTATGATTCGATAATCTTATGGGAGTGGTAAATGTTAAAGTGATTTTTTTCTTTATTCTCTTCACCACTGAGGATGACCCATAAACTGTGTGTAAAGTGAAGCGTGATATACCAAGAACCAAAGTCTTTGTCCATATTGACACCTACAATCGTGAGGCCCTCAGTTGCGAGATAATGAGATGTGTGAAGGGATTTACCAGAACCTTTACTTTTATCCTCTTCACCACTGATCGGCTCGTTAGCCGCTTGGGCGATCGGTCACGTCTCTGTTACGCACTGTTGGTAAGTACTGGGCATGCACTGGCTTCTGAATGTACCTGAACCCGCTCCAGTGTTGGTCAAGTCTTGTCTTGAAAGAGCTCACACTCGGTGCCGTCACAACACTCTCTGGTAGATTGTTCCAAGAGTTTACAACTCTCACCCCGAAAAAGTTTGCCCTTGCAGTTTTCTGACTTGCTGCTTCTTCAATCTTGAGCTGTGACCCCTTGTGGGGCGAGCGTCCGCCAGCTCCAAGTAAGGACACTCAACTGAGTAGTGCCCCTTGAGATGCTTATACACCGCAATTAGGTCACCTCTTGCCCGTCTGTAGTATAAGCTAGGCAAGTTAAGGCGCTCCAATCTCTCAGGGTAGCTGAGGTGCCGAAGTGCAAGCACCAGTCTGGTGGCCCTCCTTTGAACATTTTCAACCAACTGACAGTCCCTAGCATATCCCGGGGACCAGACGGGGTGACAGTACTCCAAATGTGGGAGTGATCCTGTCCCTATGGCAATTCAATGTTATTTAAAAAGGAAGAAAGCAAAATAATAACTCTGCTGGTCTTAAGCTTCCCTCGTCCGCCCAGTGTTGCCGTCCAAGACAGTTTGAGTTGTCTCGTTTTATTTTTATTTTTTCAGTTCTCGACGAGTTGTTGGTATCTACAGTGTACTGCGCACATCATTGTCATCCCTAAAAATCCCATCTAAACTATATTACGCCATATAACATTCAAAATGCATGCGCCAGAGAACCCCAGAAAATCAAACATTGAGAAAGGACAATCATCGCATCAAGTTCCTAGACCATGGTATTGGTACCCAGGCATAATTATATCATATCGAAGTGTATGGTCTAGAAATACTAAGGATCACTCAGTAGGTATAAGATGAATGTTAAAAGTCCATGAAAGCCGGACTAGGTACTGTAAGACTAAGTGTGTGTGAGCAGGGTTTGAAGGTCTCTACTATTTACGTCTGTGAGCGTGTATGACCCAACTCCAACAGATATCAAGATGAACAAGGCTGAGAACAATGATCTGGAAAAGGGATAAAATGTATCAGAACTATGAAAAAGGATGAAAGGATCAAAACTATACTGGAAAAGGAAATATCGTGGTATGCGTTTTGGTAAGAATTTAATACACTCGTAGCCTCACGTGACATATATACCTGTACGACAGGCAATAGCTAGAAATATTGCGGACAAGAGCTAACCTGGAAAACCTTTGTTGATCCATATTGCTGCCTCAAACGTCCACAAAACCTTCCGAGTCCCCCAGTGGAAACGTCCCCCTGTTTTCTCTGTTTCTGCCTTTGTTCATGGGACAGACGTGCTGCTGGGACCTGTTGCCATCCATTCCTTGTAATCAATTTAATTCCCTGCTTTCTAGTAATGAGCCAGAGCATTGTTAGTGAAGATAATAGTAGAGAATGAAAATGAGTCTATAGTCTCACTCAACGTCTCAGAGGGGTACCGTAAATAATTCATTGAATAGGAGCAGCTGGACCCTGTCTGCTTGAGTGAGGGCATGGGCATTTTAAATCACAGGCGCTCGTCCCTTCATCCATACAGGTATGCATTCCACGTCAGTTGTAATTTGCCCTTCTTTAAGTGATTTTGACCAATTAATAGTTGATTGCAAGTGTTGGTGTGCAACGAGAGTTGTTATTATGCCTGAGTAAAGCTATTTACGTCTTTAATGTCCCTGAAACGTGATGTTGTTGTCACCCAGTTAGTAAGTGCCCGTCCCTTCATCCATACAGGCCTTTACCTGGCCCAGAAGCTGTGTCTGCAGAGTGATGTTGTATCCACTATGTCTGGGGGACAAGGCCCGAGGTCCAGCAGGATCAGTTACCTTCTTGTGAGACCCGGCTGTCAGACACTTCAGACCACCTATAGCCCTTGCGCAGCTGGCTCGTCTGGTCTTTAACGCTTTGGTCCACGAGGTGACCTTGGACTACCCGGGCCTGTCATTGCTGAAGACCACTACCAGCCCCCATCATTGCGGATGAACGTCTACCCCAGTAGGGCTATATTTCAGTGGTGGGATTTAACTGTATCGACTCTGTGAGTTCGTCGGATAGCAATTCCATGGTGGCTGACCCCATGGCTGTTGGGCTTGAGCATCACCCTGATGACTGAGTGCTGTAGTGGCAGTTGCCTCCAGTATTTATGGTGCCATGATCACTGGTATTGTGGGTGTTATTGAGTATGTCCAATCTCGTGAGGGAAGGAAGGGTATTGAATATGTCCACCCAGTCATGGTGTGAGTATGTGGAGCCTGAGGGCCTAGTAATAGATTCTGCCCTGTTAGTACAAACCAATTCTTTTCTTCTAATTTCATATTCATGTTTAAATAAACTTTGTATTTGTATAATTGTGTATATTATTTACCTGCAGTATTTACCGTTATTTCTTCCTATTGTTGACATTACTAATACACCTACCCACGGAGCCTCCTATCGCCACGCCACAATGGTGATATATAAGAGTAAAAGGAATTGTTATCAGCCACAGGTCATGAAGGGAAAAAGTAGCAGCCCCTCATAAATGGTGGCAGCCTGCCCTCATAAATGGTGGTAGCTTCAAGCCCCTCATACAGTGACTAGAGAATCTGAGGTCTGTGTTCAAATAGGTGCACCGTGTGAGAGGAGGATCTCATTGAAGCTTTTATGAAGTTGATAATCCCTGCCATGATCATTCGGTTTTGTTTCACAAAAGGCCACAGCCCCCAGATGCCCAAGTTGATATTAAAACTTGCGTACGAACCAAGCAATTAGCAAAAACCAAGACCTGACCTTTAGTGTATAAGTAGGATTAATATATGTACAAGAAATGAGGACAAGATACCGTAAAAGTGTCTAGTGAGAACCATAAGAAACAAAAATGCAATTGAGGATTGGAAACTGTAGGCCCATGTGATTTATAGAAGCGTGCGGAAGCCGCCTTTAGTCTTTCCTGCAGTGTTCTGCCGTCAACATGCAGGTCAGTGTCCCAGCGGGCTATATCCCCACCCTATACCCAGCAAGGATAAATGTTGGGTTACTAAGAAGCCAGATTTGCTGATATATAAGTGTGATAGGGATGTGTTAAGGGATGGGATAACTGCCCGTCAGGCATTGGTTGCTTAGTCTTTCCCTGTTCTGCCGCCAACACAGGTGCCATGTGGTTGGGGTATCTTGCC